GCGTTCACTTCGTGTTCAGCTGTGATTGCGTCTCAACAGGCTGTTTGCATCTCCCGCAAAAGTATGCACGAATGTTGACATTCTTCGTGTTTATTATTTTATTAATGTAGAGAATGAAATAAAATAATAAAAATAAGCTGAATCGAATTACCAACATAGCTTAACCCCGTAATTAAATGATAGCATTAAGTATAAATCAGAGAAGACTTTAATTCGTAACAATAAAGATGTGAGGCCTGTGGTGGGTTAATTATGCCAAGATAAACACGGTACTAAATTAAGAAATAAAACACTTTGGAAACAAAATATTGTCTGGGGGAAGCAAAGGAAATGGGATTTTGCCAAGAGAGAGGGAAAGGATTTATCAAGTATTTTATAAATAGGTTGTAATGTGCCTGTGGCTCTTTGTGTTCGGGGGTGGCAGTGTGGGCCCCTTCACCTAGCTGCTCGTGGTCAGGATGCACATGTGTCTTTTGGCGCTGGCCCTCGGGATGAATAAGAAAAAAAATCAGAGAAAGTGACTATTTTTTTTATGTCATATATATATATTTTTTTGCCGTGGAACAACATTATGCATTTCAAGTATCTTCACAAGACATCGCTCGCATGTGTCTTCTTAACACTCGGCTTAATTTGTTTTGGGTGATCCCCGAGTCTGCAACACATTCCAAAAACCACAAATGTCGACAACCAAAACCGTCCGCTGTTATTTATGCAATATTGTTATTTCATGTTATTATTACATTATATTTTTTTCTCCGCAGCACTCTTGCGTGCCAGATCATTGTTGGGTTATGATGACTTCGCTTGATCGGGTTGAAAATAATTGTGAAAAATGTTTTGTGTTATCTTTACTGGAACATTGCACAGCTGTTCCAGTAAACTCAAAAAGATTAATTCCTTTGCGTGATTCTTTTGGGTTCACAACATTACCCCGTGTAATTATGCAAACATTGCGCAAAAACTTGTCTAAAAAAAAAAAATACCAAAGAACAAAATAACTTCGTCATGCGCATAATGTATTTTCCTTTCATATAATAAAATTTATGTATTTTGGGGGATGGCGTGGGGAGGGGGGCTCTTAGAGACATGGAGGGACACTTGGCGGCAACACGCGGTCAACATCCCTCCATCGGGAATAACAAACAAGAAGAAAAGAGTGGGGGGAGGGGGGTGGGTCAAGTAAAAGTAGCGTGAACCCTGACGAACGGAGCACATCGCATTGCTCGTGCTGCTCTCTCGACCCATCCACCCACCCACCCACCATCTTGTGGGCAAATATGTCCCACGGCGGAATCCGCGGCCGCTCTCTGATTGTAATGTCTCCACCTGCTGTTTATCACCGGCGTTGTGGACAATCCCTCAGGCGCAATCAGTCAGACTTTGCCCGCAGCGTCAGACCTGCCGGGCCCAACCTGGTATGTTCCATGTGCGTTGCGTTTCCCAAGGCTTATGCAAGCGAATATATAGCATTTGTTTTTGCGTCCAGGGGAATAGTTGCCACTGCAGAATCACGTTACATGCATACTTTTCCAGCGCCGCATCAGTCAATTTTAAAATGAATTAACTCAACAGCTGCCCGCCCCCGAAATAAATCAAACACGGCTGGCGATTGAGAGTAGGAGGTCACAGCTTGGCTTTTCCACAGCCAGAACTTTAACGAAGAAGTAAAAAAAAAAGGGGGACTTGACTTCACTTATTTATGCCCTGGCCTCAGTAAATCTGTCTTAGAGAGGACTGGAAGGGTTGAATGCAACCCTGGCCAAAGATATGTCACGACTTTGCGTTCCTTAATTCAGGAATATCAAAAGGATACATCTGTACAGATGTTTTGAGGCTCTGCAAAGTGTAATGTGGTTTATTGAGCACCAATTAGGTGAAACTGAGGTTGAGAGAGATGATGCTGAGAGGCTGGAGGTGTCCGGCCCCTAATTTCGTTGCTGACCATTCTTTGTAGCGCATTGTCATCAAGACCACTTAGCCGGCAGCACTAATGCAAAATCTACCAGCTGACAGCCAGCGCCGTCGGTTGGCTACAGAACCTAGACATTGATTCGTAACTTTTGCTGCTGTTCCAAAAAGAATTCGCTCATCTCTGAATCACGCCGTACTAAAAGAAGAAGCCGGTAGTGCTTTGTGGAATTTGCAACATCATCACAATTGCGATGTAGCAATGAGGATCCTCACAAAGGGGGGATTGCCACGGTGATGGCCGTGTGACGTGGAGGTGATGATTGTGTTGGCTGCTTTGATGATAATGATAACGACGGTGGCGATTGACGCTGATTGATGATGATGATGGCAGATGAAACGTGCGGATGTAATCTTTAGGCCTAAATGTTTAACATGCTGCTCTGGGGTCTGCAAATTCCATCATAAACGATTTATGGGCGACTCACTATGGAGCTGTGCGGGCAGGGGAGATGACGGGCTGGTACAGGGCTCTGGGGGCACACGGCAAGGGATGGAACACAGAGGGCGGTGGGAATAACTCTGGAAAAATGAACGAGAGATTTGCCACGTAATTGGATAGGAAAGCATCCGATTTATTTTCCACATCAATCCATCTTCTCCGTTCCTTGCCTTTTATGTTATGCCTCAGCAACTTAAGACCCTACAGTTGGTAAAGCAGTCATGCTGTTCCCAGAGAAATGTGCACAGACGTCATGTGGCGGGTGGGTGGGTGGGTCGGCGAATGGGTGGGTGGTCACTGGGGTGTACTGAAGATTCCATCAGAAAGATGGGGATAAAGTCACGAGCTGCATTTTTTTTACATTATTTTCTGTTGGTGCGAGTGTTACTCCTGCACTGTGCTCGAAACCATGGGGGAACTTCGCCTAATTTCTATCGGGCTTCAGTGTCACACGCCAAGGCCGGCAAATGTTTAAGTTATAGTGTAGGTTTTCGTAGACTATGCAACGGACAATATTTTGTATGATCCATATTTTATTTGCTTCACTGATTGTATTTATCATTGATTGTTTAAGTAGTTGTTTTTAGCAACGCTTTTTTGTTTTTTACTTATTTTTTATTTTAGGCTGTGACCTATGCCCCATAACTTAAACCAGTGATTTTCTGTACCTTAATTTTTGGGGGCACAAGTTTGAAAATGTTGGTTTTCGGCTGGACAGGTTTTAGGTTTTGTTTTTGTCATTTCTGGCAAAACATTTTTTGGGAACCTCTCCCAGGCCATTCCACCAATTTCAACGTAAAAGAAGAGTAATTTATAAGCTCATCATTTGTAGTTTATTCTAACGAGGCCCAAATAATGAGAGATAAAAAAATCACTTTCCACAACTATAATTTGGCCGATTGGTCCCAGGATATTGTAAATACTATACCATTTACAATATCCTGGCAATAGATGCAAGCCCCATTTCAAAATCAGACACTGGATAGGTGCCATTGGTGTTTGGTGGTCCGGGAGAATTGCTGAATCTCGACAAACCTTCCACTATGTTTGATACACTGGTGAATGAGTGGTGAGTGTCATGTGAGTGGTGAATGCCTGACGATGGTCAAGGTGATGGCCACGTGAGTGCCAATGTCACGTGACACTATAATCCGTAAATTAAGACTCTACTACGAAACAAAATCCCATGTTATCCGAGACACAATTAACTAAACACCCGCGTCCGTGCATAACCCTAACCGCATAACCACAGAACCTTTTGCACATGAGCCAGCGGGGATAATTGGCGCCTGAGCACGTGTGCGCGCACGTGGACGTGTGCCCACTCCGTGCGTGTGTGCGTGCGTGCGCAATGAGAGTGGGGAGCGGTGGCGCAGTGGTCAGCCCGATGTGCGACGAAGCCGACGGACCCGAGTTCGACTCCCGCTCACGGCCACCAGCACCAGTGACGATTACCTGAACCATTCCTGGGCCTCTAATGAGTACCTGGTGCGGTGTGTGAACATCGCCACTGGGGAGACAAAGGCGGTCGGGCGTGGTGCCCACAACTCCGTAGTGCGCTGTTCCGGCCTTCATTAGGTGCTACTCGCTAACGGCACTTGCCAAAGTAGCTTGCCTCGAAAAGTCTGTTAATGCTATGTAAGGTGGGGAGGGGGGGATCTTTATTCTTGTATAATGAGAGAATAAGCGTGAATGACACGGAGATGCATGGATGTTCTCGGCAGCACCTGTGATCACTTCTGTGATCGTCACGCAGGGCCCCAACGGCAGGAGAGGGGAAAACAGACTCCCACGAGATTTGTTCCACAGGCTCTATCCCTCTCTTTCTCAAACTGTTTAATCCTATTATTATTTTACCAGGTAAGGTCCACTGAGCTATTAGCCACAAATGAAAGCTCAACGAAGTGGCTTATGTGGAAATGTATTTGTAGCCAAATACTCTTAACGCGTGATGTTGATTCTAAACGTGGAGGGGAAAATCGGAGGACCCGGAGAAAAATCCACTTGACCACGGGGAAAGAGACATGCAGACTCAAAATATACAGGCATCAAAATATACAGGCATCAGGGTCGGGGTCAAATTCACAACCTCCTGTATACCAGGCGAGGTAGTTAACATCTCGCCATCGTGAAGCCAGTATCTCACTCTCTCGCTCCCAGATGGGACTGTAGGTTGTCATGGGTGTCCGAACTCCCGCAAAATGTTTCAATATGACCACGGCTTATTTTCAACTGGAACTTTCCAGGGCTGAGCTCCAGAAAACGTTGAATGCAGAGATTTGTACTCACACATTTTTCATTGCGAGCCACTCGCTCTACCACCGCACCACCTGACTGGTGCAGCGCATAATGCACGGTAGGCAAAAGCGGATCGTATCCTTACCTGGTAAAATAAAATAAAAAATAGTTGAACAGTCAATAGTTATATCGCATCATCACCGTAGCTCGGTCTGTCCGGCGTTTAGCATTTGTCGTTCCGAGTTCGTTCAACGTCGAGGAATCGACCGCGGCCACCCTCTGGAGTGATTTTGTTACCCCTCCGTCCCAAGCTGGCGCTGACTTCCTGCAGTGTGTGGCTGGGCTACAGGTCCCCCGGATGTGGAGAGGCCGTGTGAGGTCAGCCTGCGCACGTGGAGCCCCGAGTCGCGCTACAGCCAGCGCACGCCGTCGGGGACGTGCCCGCAGCCGTCCGGCTGCGTCCTGGAGCTCTCCTTCAGCCTGCCCACCCTCCCCGAGCTCCTCACCATCTGGGTCACCTACATCTTCCTGCACAACTCCCACCCCATCAAGGACCTGGTCATCCTCACGGCCGACGGGAGGAACAAGGTACGGCCCGGTCCCGCCTGCACCTCCGTTCAACGCACTGGACGAGACTTTCAATTGGCGACGATCACGACGATGACCTCCCCCAGGTTTTCGGGTAGTACCACGCGTCGTTTGGGCGCGACGGGTCCCCGTGTTTCGCTGTCTCACACTCGTGTCTTTTTGTTGTTGTTGCAAGTACGTACGTTGAACTTCTTCCATACCGTGCGTAGCCAGCCGTGCCAATATGTTGCACTGTGGTGAGTTTTCTCTGGGCACTCCGGTTTCTTTTCCTGTGTTCACGTTTACGTTGCTTGACCCGGTGAGACCTCACGACGTTGTTGGAATTGTATACATTGGGCACCAGCAGGAGCAGCGGACGGCAACGCTGTGACATCGAGGGAGAACGTGAGCTGTTTAGTTCCCTTCCTGTAGAAGCTTCCAGCACGTGGGGCGAAACGTTGGACGACATCGTGCCGAACAGCACACGGGCACAACCCCGAAAAGGCATCGGAGAACTGGATGGGATTTTTTTATTTCTCCATTCGTGACCGCAGAGATGTCATTTGTTGCGTACAAGTTACGCACAGTTTGAGCGGCGGTAGAAGTCTTGTAATGGGAGTTATTCGATTTCGATCGGTCTTAAGGTGAGCGGGTGGGTGGCTTAGAGACCTTGCAATTAAAGTCAGGCAGCCACCCTGTTAATTAAGGGGAGTGAAAGTGAGTTGATGTTCTTTGCCCGGTCACCGATGAGCTGAGAAAAAAAAGAAAAGACCCTGCATTCAATTTGGTTGCTCAATTAAATTGGCTACGGAACAACTCTAAGAATGTGGAAGACTATCGGTGTGACTGTCACACAAGAAACAATCTGGTAGCAGAGCGCGGCAAAGTGCCGAGCACGACTTTTCGTTCAGTCATCCTAAGGACTAAACTATGTACTTATATTCTTGGGGTCGTTCGGTAAAGTCACGTAGATAGGTTCAAAGAAAATAACAAAAACTACGACGTGACGATCACAGCACAAGCGTTCGTCATCCTCCTCCTACTGATGACGATTGCTTGTGTTGTGACTTAACCGAAAGACCCAAAGAATATGAATTCCTGCAGTCACAAAAACTTTAAGTCCAGATAATTTTTAATACGTAATAATTTTTTGCCTTTTGTTTTATAATACATTTTATTTAGAAAACCCTTTTGTTGATTTTATAAGTGTTACATGAACAGGACAGGTGTGACATGTAAAGCAACCATAAACGCATGAAAAGACCTAGGTTTACGATTTATGAGTAAAACTCTCCTATCTACACAACATACATAGACGTAAATCAGTTGTTTTATTGTCATATTTAAATTCGGCACATCAAAATCCATAATAAACAGCACATTTCATCTCTGAAGCAGACGACGTCTACACAATTGTAGACCAGTGTGATCTACAGTCACGTGGGACGTTTGACCATACTTCGCCATGCTGGTCAGTGCTGGTTGGTGAAGGTGTGGGGGGGGGGGGGTGTGCCCAAGATCGGTTCAGATGTCAGTCTCCGACGATGTTAGCCATGGCAGGGAATCAAACTCAGGTCACTGGGGTCATAGCATTGCACGCAGTACATTGACGAATGTATCGCTGTTGTGTATGCATGTATATTGAACTTATTTTGCGCCGTACGTAGCCAACTGTGAAAATAGATTCGGGGTAAGGACATCAAAAATACACAAAAATCTGTTCTAAACAAATGAGTTTTGTTTACAAATTAATCGAAAGAAAAAATAATATAGAATATTGTTTTAAATATATAAACATGGTTGAATACATAACAGGTTAATTTTAAATACAATTAAACCCAGAAATGAAAAGATGACAATAGGAACCACATTTGGGCTGGACTAGATTGAAGTTGTGTTTGTGTGTGAAAGCCTCGCTGCCAAGAGTAGCTGTCTTGAACAGCTCAAAGCATTTCTTTGCTTGTTCAGCAAATTTACGTAATAACAAAACATTATCGGCATAATAGTGTTATTTTAATCTCTAAAAGGAAACAGCAAATCATATCAGCGTCTTGCAGCATCTGCCTGTCTGGAAACCCCTGATGTTTTATCTGTGTTCATCAGCAGCATGTGCTATTTTTACCGATATTTAACATAAATACACAAAGGTGTGAAGGCTTCTTTTAAACAGGGATGTGTCTTTTTTCTGCTCGTGTGTACTCCCCTCTTCCAGCCAATGGTGTTGTCACCTGTTTGTGTTTTCCCAGAATCTCGTGGTCTTATTTTGAAGAACCTGTCGAGGGAATTGTGTCAGTCTTCCAGGGGACGTAAAAATAAAAAAAAAATGTTGGGTCAGTTGGTGTAATACTGTGCCACTCGAAATAAGGCGTTTTTGTGCAACTTTTCACATTTCCTGCATCGTGAGGTTTTCTCCTTCTCCGTGACACGTCCTCGTTTTTATTTTCTTTCGTATCTCCAAGGCGGCAGGCAGGCAACTCTCGCGACCCAACTGAGGGACGAATGTCAAGCGGGAAGTGTTCCTTCCAGATCGCAGTTCACTGTCCATGCTTGCTGACTACGCAACCACCTCTTCCGTGCAGCAATTAGACTTGTGGCAATTCATCCCTCCCAGCGATTTTTACAATTTTTTTTTTACGAATTGTCACAGATTCAGGACCGCGATTCGACGAGTGATTTATTTTGTTTGTTTTCGGCGTTGGTAGCGTTGGGGTGAATGTATTGGCCACCCCGTGGCAAGAGGCCACAGCCACCGTGGTTGTTCCTGGGTGCACAGACCTTCCCCCACCCCCAGGCTCCCACCCACCTGCCCCCACCCCCTGCCCTCCCCGCCCCCACCGCAACATTTGGGAGAAAAAAAAATTGCGGTATTTTTCTTTTGAGTCTCGCGTTTTTCTCCCTTCATCATATGCTGATGACAGAACCTTTAAATGCACAGGTGCAGCGTGTACCGTCGGCCCCGAGACTGCAGTCAGCTGCCAGTAATTGCATAGCGATAGTAAAATTACAGTCGAGTAGAACTGCTCTTGTACGTAACGAAGTGGATGGGGGGTGCGGGGTGAACTTCAAAGACCTTCCTTTGGCTATAATAATATTTTCATTTTATATCGCGTAATTGATGCTAATAGCATCCCATAACGCTGTACATTAAAATTATATATAAGGACCAAATCCCACACACAGCCACGACCAAAGCAAATGAAAACCCTACCGCTACCAAGCACAATAAAAAATGTATTAACAAATACAGAAATTGCACCAAAACAAAGAGGCACAAATGACAAAGATCGTTATCACAACACAGAACTGAGTCCATTCGGTCACATCCCAGATCACAATCTCGACTTCTCAACCAAGCCAGGAAACCTTGAGTTGTAACTCACCGCCTCGTTCTCTCTTACCAAATAAACACGGGTGCGCCGTTTCTACACAACATCTTGAGATGCGGTCGCATTCAGACGCTGTGCAAATCCGAGGTGTATTTTAATCCGAGTTGTATTCTATTCGTGTATTAATCCCTTCTTAGAGATGCCCTCCTCCTCCTCAGGCAGAGATGTGCAATATGCATCTAAGTGATAATCGTGTCGAGAAACACATTACCAACTGACCATGTGTTGCGTCATTTAGACACAGTGGTGATGCTTGTGTCTCATGGCGAAAACGGGGCCTGGGTTCACATCCCAATGCGGGCACCTTTCTGCGTGGAGTTTGTCCATTCTCTCCCCCTGTACAGCGTGGGGTTCCTCTGGGTTTTCCTGCTATCATTCCACAGCTAAACAAACGCACAGTGTAATTGGCATGGTCAAACATCGCAATGCTGAAAGCCGCCAGCAAATTACTCATTCGTGGGGCTGCACGTGGTGACATCGGCCGCTGCCACGAAAAACCTGGCAGGGCCCTCCTCAACACAGAGTCTTGGGACTCTGCGAGGCTTTCATGGGCAAAAAAGCGCAGCAATAATAATACGAATACTACTACTCCGAGGTGTGTCATTTATATACTACTCGGCAAGTACTCGTGTGAACTATATTACAAATTAAAATCGCACGTGACGGCATGGCAGATGCGGATACCTGATGCACAAATGGAAATTAAAAAAAAAAATCTCGAGTAATGTGCGACTGTGATCATCCGGAACAGACCATACAAACGCGTAACGACGCAATGCCCCATCCACAAATACGAATGCGACATCGCGGCGATGCACTCCGCTGCTCCCGATGCGGTTGTCTGTGCTTGACCACCTGAATGTGAAATTGTAGTTGATGCTCTGTAGTCTACATCCGCCGCGCGGAAGAGGAAGATTCCACGTCATTATGCGATGCCGCCTCACTTCCGCAACTCTATCCTGACACCCTGTGCAAGACCCATCAACGACTGACCCCCCCCCCCACCCCCGCACCGCACCGTCTGTCTGATGGCCTTAATTTAGACTGATGGCCTTAATCTAAGTTGTCTTGTGGTTGTTGTTGTTTGACTTGCATCCCACTGGGATTTTTGCACACAGCGTTGGTGTACGGTGCTTTTTCTGCAATATTTTGCTGTCTTTTCTTGGATTTTCTGTTTGCACAAAGTCACTTTAAGATGTTTTCTTGTTCATGTTTTAGTTTTTTTGTTTGTTGCGGTTGCACCCGATTCAAGAGCCGAATGGCTCACAGGGCTGTACCTAATAAATGAAACTTGAAACTTGAAACTGTCCGCTTGTGCCCCGCCAGTCGCTGGGACCCCAGACGGTGTTCTGCGACGTCCCGCTGACGGTGCGCCTGGACTGGCTGCTGGCGCCGGTGGAATCGGTTCGCATCCACACGGTAGACGAGAAGCTGGAGGTGGACGCAGCGCTGCTTCGCTCGGCTCCCAACGACGGGCGCTGCTCTCGCTGCCGCCCGCTCTCCTACAAGCTGTCGCGCTCGCCGCCGTTCCACCCGCGCGGGCAGGTGGTCGTCGACGGACCATCGCGCAGCTTTGTGGACAGGTACGAAGGGTGGGGGTGGTGGTACTTTGAGCGCGTGCGTGTGTTGCCCACCGACCTCCTCGTGTGCTTTGCCAGCCTTAATCGATGGTCGCTAACAGCACTTGCATTATACACCCACGAAATGTCATGGTTTGGCTGGGACGGTACTGGTTGGTTCGGAAAGGCCGTGTCCCTCATGTCCTGAAGCATATGCAAGTGAAAGTGAGTCTGCATTCTCAACTCCGGTGATCAATGAATGAGAAAAAAAACCTAGTCTCAAGTTGAATTTGGTTCAATTCGGGCTGTGAGGATTCAGGAAATGATATTGGTTTGACTGTCACACAACAGACAACATTCTCGTCGCAGAGTCCACACAAAGGCTGTTCCAATCTCCTAAAGTATTTGCGAAAAAATTGGCGTTCCGTTTCAAGAACCGATCCTGCTCATCTTTACCGGTTCATTCGCATTGATTTTTTCAACTCGTCAAGCTTCACTTGCGTATATTTGTGTACAACGAGAGCATCGTGGCTTGAGTTTGCAAACAACTGTTATTTGCACTGCGCATGTGTGCATCTCCAACATTCTTTGCCTCCCTCCCGAATCGCGGGATCGTGCCAACTAAACATTTGAACGATCGCCGCAGGTATCGTCGGCATCAAAGTCCGTAGGCGCGCAAAAAAACATTTCGCCTGTGATGCATGCTCCTCGGGTGCGATCTCATTTTTCATCGCGGCGAACTCCGGAGGGCTCGTTTCGAACGAGTCCCGAGCTTTTTGGAGGCCTCCCCAATAAAGCACCTTGGCTGCGCTTCTAGCCGTCCGAAAGTAGCAAAAAAAGCACATGCTGAAAAATGTTACCGAAAGGCTTTTTTTTTTTTTGGCCGGGGCAGTTACGGGCCTCGTTCGTTTCGCTCCCGTTAGCCGCCGCCCGCGCACCCTTTTGCTCCGCCGCGATCGGAGGTGGCTGACGTTTTACGCGACGGGGGGGGGGGGGGGGGGGGGGGCGGGGCTGGCAGGATTGGCGGTGAAACGTTGCTATCTGCTATTGGCGATACAATGAAGGGAGCAGTTTGCCTCCGTGAGGCCAGGGATGTCACGGAAGGCGCTGGGTGCTCGCCGCGCGCCACTGTTTGGGGCGTAGAGCAATTCCAGAAGGATGAAAGGACAGGGGTGATTGATGGCTTGTGGGAAGAAGGGGTAGCTACTGTGTCCCATAGCTTAAAATGCCGCATCTGCAGCTGTACGCACCCTGCATGCCTACGTGATAAAAGATGGTCGAGGAATCATGTTAAGCCGATGCCTTTGCGATGGTATGCAATGTAGATATAGGAGGCTTAGCTCTCCATACAGAGACGCACACAAACACACACACACACACTAAAGAGTGCACATCAAAGCACGCACAGAGGCCCCCTTCTATTCACGAGCCAGCGATTACGCAAACAGCCAGAGTTTGAGCGGTATGCACAGGAGTCGATGTATTTTTCCTTAAGTGTTGGATTTCTCTGTTTAAATTGCTCGTGGGCAACACACTCAGCTAGTGGGCACATGGCCGGAGTGAATCGCGTGCTTTATTGGAAAATTGAGCCTCTGCAAGTTGTTGCGGGCAAACATTTGCCGATGTTACGGATCGAACGTTCGCTCATTTGCGGCGCTCGCTCTCGGCATCGCGTACGGCTCTCTCGACTTCGGATTTTTAACGCCCGCCCGCGAGTTCGTCGTGACTGATGACCTGGCCCGCACTTTGCCCCCCCCCCCCCCCCCCCCGGTTTTGGCTGTCCGCCCCCTCTGTGCCCTCGCCGACCCCTCCGCTCAGGTCCGTGGAGCCGGGAGCGACGTACGTGTACCAGGTGGCCGTCTCGACGACGTACGGCGACTCGCAGCCCTCGCCGCCGCTCGTCTACACGCACGGGAGCCCCTACTGTGGGGACGCTGCGATGCACGGGTGAGTGTTCCGATTCTCTCGCGGGTGAGAGAAGATCGTGTTCCGATTCTCTCGTGGCTGAGAGAGGATCGTGTTCCGATTCTCTCGCGGCTGAGAGAAGATCGTGTTCCGATTCTCTCACAGACGAGAAAGGATCGTTTTCCAATTCTCTCGCGGCTGAGAGAGGATCGTGTTCCGATTCTCTCACAGACGAGAAAGGATCGTGTTCCGATTCTCTCGCGGCTGAGAGAGGATCGTGTTCCGATTCTCTCACGGCTGAGAGAGGATCGTTTTCCGATTCTCTCACAAGTGAGAGGACCGTGTTCCGATTCTCTCGCGGCTGAGAGAGGATCGTGTTCGAATTCTCTCACAAGTGAGAGTGGGCCGTGTTCCGATTCTCTCACAGACGAGAAAGGATCGTGTTCCGATTCTCTCACGGCTGAGAGAGGGCCGTGTTCCGATTCTCTCACGGCTGAGAGAGGATCGTGTTCCGATTCTCTCACAAGTGAGAGGACCGTGTTCCGATTCTCTCGCGGCTGAGAGAGGATCGTGTTCGAATTCTCTCACAAGTGAGAGTGGGCCGTGTTCCGATTCTCTCACAGACGAGAAAGGATCGTGTTCCGATTCTCTCACGGCTGAGAGAGGGCCGTGTTCCGATTCTCTCACGGCTGAGAGAGGATCGTGTTCCGATTCTCTCACAAGTGAGAGGGCCGTGTTCCGATTCTCTCACGGCTGAGAAAGGATCGTGTTCCGATTCTCTCGCGGCTGAGAGAGGATCGTGTTCCGATTCTCTCACGGCTGAGAGAGGATCGTGTTCCGATTCTCTCACAAGTGAGAGGATCGTGTTCCGATTCTCTCGCGGCTGAGAGAGGATCGTGTTCGAATTCTCTCACAAGTGAGAGTGGGCCGTGTTCCGATTCTCTCACAGACGAGAAAGGATCGTGTTCCGATTCTCTCACGGCTGAGAGAGGGCCGTGTTCCGATTCTCTCACGGCTGAGAGAGGATCGTGTTCCTATTCTCTCACAAGTGAGAGGACCGTGTTCCGATTCTCTCGCGGCTGAGAGAGGATCGTGTTCGAATTCTCTCACAAGTGAGAGTGGGCCGTGTTCCGATTCTCTCACAGACGAGAAAGGATCGTGTTCCGATTCTCTCACGGCTGAGAGAGGGCCGTGTTCCGATTCTCTCACGGCTGAGAGAGGATCGTGTTCCGATTCTCTCACAAGTGAGAGGGCCGTGTTCCGCTGGCCCCGCCGTGCTCGGCAGCGATGCCGTTGGCGCGAACATCAAAAAACTGAACACGTTCGCCAATAGCGCTGCCCCAAATTTTTTTTTATAATTAATTTATTAGGTGATGTTTTAGGCAATTGACCTTCTTCTTGATCTCTCTGCTTTGAAGAAGGAACATTGCCCCCCCACCAAAACATATGTCTCTTATTATAAGTTTTACGTTTAACTTCTTCAGGGCAGTCTTATTGGCGAATGTGACAGGCGTAGCCATTGGCTGATCCGAACAGCCACCATTAAACCCGATATCCAGACATGCCCCCCCCCCCCCTCCTCCATGAGACAGTTTTCCATGACGACCAACGAACACGAATCGACTGAAAACACCTTAATATATCGAGAACGGCAGAGCGACAGTTGGTGGCGGCTCACTGCCCAGCAGCCTTCCAGCTTGTCTGCGATTTCTCGGCGATTGTGAGATTCAATTCGCGTGAAAGACGCTATTTTATTAAATGGATCATTCGATTATCACATTCGAACTATCAGGTGCGTGCAGTGAGCCACGGCTTAATGTGCGCATGGATAGATCAGGATTCGCACACCACCGCTTGGGGGTTTTTGCCGTTGCGCGATATATAATACATAGCGCTTCTGAGCTCGTTGAGTGAAATAAACTTTGCGGACATCGCGCTGGGCGGGTGGAAAGGGCGAGAAAAGTGGCAGCCATCGTGCAAAAAGCGAAAGTTATGTGTGGCGGTCGCAAGGAGCCCAGGTTTGAGAATCGCCGCGCTTAGAGAACCATCACTCCGGCAGGATTCTCTCACCTGGGGACATTGCCAGCACAGCCACGTTTCATCGTTGAGCACGGATTTCATGTCATATTTAAATCTCGTATTCAAAAAATAGTAATTTGCGGACTAATGTGTACTGTGAGATTACTTCCTGCCCCCAGGGTCCATTCAAATGCAAAACTTTATAGTGGTTGGATTTTTTAAAGAGAGCAATCACAATTATAACGTTTTTAGTAATGATCTGGCGAAGGTGGCCTCACTCCCAGAGTGATCGGCAGCTTTTATTTCTCATCTTTTAGTTGCGGCGTGTTTTTAAAACTAAGGTTGAAATGCATTAACGCACTGTCTGTTCGTCCCTCCGTCTTCTCTGTCTGCAACATGGGGTCATGATAACGCTTGTAAAGATGATCCAATATAAATTGAATTCTAGTATGAAGTTGTGCTGCTATTAAGGACTTACCTGTTAGAAAACCGGCCAAATTAATCAAAGGATTTCCCCAAAACGTATAGCAAACAAACCAGTGCTAATTGGACTATTAGCAAATATACAAATACATGTTTGCCCATCGGCCTTCGTACTGCTCACGGAAACTTCCAAGGACAAACACATGTTGGAGAGCGTTACAGAAGCCATGCATGTGGGCAATTTTTCTTCCTTGTTAAAAAAAAATGGGAAACCATTGGGTTGGGTGGGAAATTCCCATCTGCGAACTGATTCTTGGTCTGGAGCATCATCCCTTGAGAGTGAAATATTTCCCTGGATTCATCTTCTTGGTTCTTTCGGTAAAGTCACGTAGAAGGGAAGTAATAAAATAATAAAAATAAAACATAATAAAACAATTCTCACGACGTTTCGGCCACAACGCAAGCAGCCGTCCTCAGGCGAAGAATGAAGCACCACCAAGCTGAGGACGGCTGCTTGCGTTGTGGCCGAAACGTCGTGAGAATTGTTTTATTATGTTTTATTTTTATTATTTTATTACTTCCCTTCTACGTGACTTTACCAAAAGAACCAAGAAGATGAATCCCTGCAGTCACGAAAGCTTTAAATCGAAATATTTCCCTGGAGTTGTGATTCATGACAGAGACCTGTTAATTGAGCCGTCAGCAACTTACTAATTGGGCGCAGTCTTCCAGGTTGGGTTTAGGGGTTGGAAGGGCTTTAAGAGGATGGTGAGAGTGGGTACGGGGATTGTGAGATGGTGGGGGGCTAGGAAAGGCGGAGTTGTGGGGGGGGGGGATGAAGTCTGGCCAATTAGTGTGAGCATTGTGCATACGTGTATGTGTGCGTGTGCCTGTACGCTTTTGCATGTGTCTCGATTTTATTTTAGCGTAAGCCTATTTCAAGCCAGCCTGGTAATTACAGGCACATGATACCCTTTCTGGAACAGATATACACGCACACGCAAAATCTGTTATCAGAAAGGTTAAAAAACATATCCAAATACCAAAGCATCCACATATCTGCTATCTTTTATCAAACGCTACTTTGGCCGCCCACCTTTCACTGCCATTTAACAAAGCGGAGGAAGCAGTAGTAAGAAAACATTAACGAGTGAAGACATTAAAAATCCATTAGAGGTAAAAGCTATTTCACAAAAGAGGCATTTCTGGCCAGACTGAATTAGTGGAGGCATGTGGGGCAGAATGGCCAAGAACTCGCAGACTAGGTAATGGATTCAAGCACGTAGGCAAAGAGGTTTGTAGAGAAAAACCAAATAAAAGATGGATCGAGGGTGCAACTGTGAGGGAACCTATCCATGGCGGGCTCAAACGCTAACTCGAAACAGACCGACTTTGGAGGAGGGAATTCACTCATAAAAAAAAACCACGCAATAGCTGTAAATTTTACCCACGATTCGCCGTTACAGTTCTTGGCGGCACAACAGCTTTATGAGCATTACGAGTCATTATTTTTTTTCATTTCAGGAGAATGGGGGGAGGAGGAGATATGTTTTTGTGAATGTTTTATTTTCGTCGCTTTCATTCAAGCTTAGGTTTCAATCTCCTGGATGTACCATGCTTTTTCGGTCGGTGCCTCATACATAGGGGGTATTTGATCGTCGCGTTCACATATTGTCTTTTGACTTTGCCGTTTCGTGGAACTTACAGTTTTCACGAAATCCGGCGCTCAAAACCCCAATTTTTTGATATTCTAGGAATTTTTCGGTGAAATGAAACAAAAATAAAAATAGGGATTGTTATTCTTTTGCAAATAGAAACCTGTAAAATATAACACGAATCGTCTGTTGCACGATGAGCTAAAATTAAGCCAACATAGGTGCGTTAAGGTTAAAGCACCGTTCGTCGGTTTGTGAAACATTACACAAAGACTCAAAACAAAAATCTATAAAAGTACCAAAAAAATCACAGTACTTCTTAAAGATGCAGAAAACCACATAGATTTGGACTTTGTAGTCTATCTTTAGCATTTATTTTGTTTGTGACATTCGGATTAATACACACAATTAAAGCCATTTGGGAATACATCAAGAGAATATCTGAGCTATCTTATGCCCCGTAATATAAGACAATATTTTTCTCCCCTTATTTTAAAGTGTTGGGGGTTTGTCTGATAATCTGGGAGGCGCGTGTGTGCGCGCGCGATACCAGATTAATTTGACTTTATTAACATCAGACACAGGTTTGGGGTGCATATCTTACCTTTCGGAGCATCTTATAATCTGGCTAACACGGGTATAATTGTTTTTAACATGCACAAATTTCGCCAGTAACATGCAAAAAATGTAAGCGAGGAGCTGATGTCAATTGTGCTGCTACTTTCCAAAGTAGGTGGAGACACGGTACTTTGCCGTTGACTTAGCTTGTCCACGCAACCTTGGTCCGAGGAAAGCTGCGTTGGAACCGCGTCGAAGTAATACATCCGTGACTTAAGCTTTCATTGCCTATCGCCAGTCAAGTTAAAACATTTCGCGAGACTTGGCTGTCGTGCGTTCAATTGTTGCGTGATCGCCAACATAAGCACGCGTGTTTTTTTCTCTCGTTTCAAGCGGCGAATGAACTGTTCTTAGTTTAAGTGAACAAATTCATTTGAAAAATGGACATCTTCACGCTACGCTCGAACGCGGTTATACGACGTTTGCGGTTTCGTATTTTTACACAACGGGAAAAAAAGCAAAAAAAGCGATCCAGTAAGCGTGACAATTGTGATGTTGGATATTGATCCCACAAAAACAACATAGATTAATTATTGTGGGTCACATGGGGGCTTTGACATTGCACATTCAGGTGAGTGTTGGCATACACGCACGTAATGGCTAGATACACCACATGGAAGCACTAAAACAACATGGTCCAAGGTCCATGCCATCCCCACCTTCAAACGAAAGTCAGAGGGCCGAATTGACAACGGTTTTGTTTCCTTTCAAACACGGTTGCCGAGCGCAAGGCTCAAAAGGTCCCAGCGTGTGAAGCGGCCGGCAACAAACAGCACTGCCCAAGTAGACACGGATTAGGGTTTGACAAGGATATGTAATCGAGCACGAAGCGTGCAAAAACATGCACCAAAAAACGAGTAATTAAAAACGAGTCGTTAACACCGCCTTGGAAACTGACGTGGCGGTGGAGTGGCGGTGTTATTGGTCAGTGCGCTGCACTACGAAACTCTGCGAGTAACATCAGTGGTGGGTGATTACTGAGCCAATCCCGCTTACAGCAGTCCCCAATTGAACACCAAATTAACCAGTCCTTACTGACCAGTTTGGTGAATTATGGTTAAAACAACAACAACTCATCACTGATAGGCATGGGGAGGCAGCGGATTGATGCATTTCCTTGTCTTAATGCGCTTGTTTACAGGCAGGTCCATCGAAGTTGTTTTCAAATAAGGCGCGATGTCGCTACGTGCGATTCCAATTGAGCAGTTTTCAGGTAACCTTTCAGCATGAGGATGTTTGGCCAATGCCAGTTTCACCGAATAGTGATTAGCAATCGGTAGAAACCTGGAGAATCCAGAGGACGCACCACGCAGAACAGGGAGAGAATATACAAACTCCACGCGGAAAGGTTGCTGAGTTGGGGAAAAAGTGTCACCATTACATCTCCCTGTCATCTAGAATGTTGTACTCGCTTACTCTTTACTACACTTTTCACTCCTGTCTCTTGTACTGTGTGTTGTTGTAATACTCTGACCCGCCGCGACTGGACATCTGTGAAGAAGAGCTTTACAGCTCATCGGATTCCCCCAGTATAAATAAAGATGCCAATTCTGGGCGGCAAGGCAATGCAGTGGTCATTGCCTGAAAGGTCACCTATTATATACAGTTTTATTTTAAGGCCACAGTTTTTAATTATTGTTATTCACGAATGTGTTGAGTTTTGTTATTTTTGTTATTAATTGTTATTTGTGCACCGCTGCCAAACGCAGCAGCGGCAGTCGTGGATGTTGCAATGTTGTCATTATCAAGCACAGAGCATGACCAGCATGTTTTCTTCTTCTTCTTCTCAACAGTAATAAAAATGATGATGATGTAATCAAATGTTCTTCTCTTAGGAGCACCGAGGAGTGCGATGACGGAAACCTGACGGACGGCGATGGATGCAGCAGCACTTGTCACGTGGAGGCCAGCTTTGTTTGCAGAGGTGGGTCTCATCTGCAACCGCCGCTCAATCGTTTAACTCTCCGAGCACGGAGCATAGGCATCAGCATCATCATCATCATCAGCATCGTCAGCAGCATCAGCATCATCAGCAGCATCAGCAGCATCAGCAGCATCAGCATCATCAGCAGCATCATCAGCATCAGCAGCATCAGCATCATCAGCAGCATCATCATCATCAGCAGCATCAGCATCATCATCATCAGCAGCATCAGCAGCATCAGCATCATCAGCATCATCAGCAGCATCAGCATCATCAGCAGCATCAGCATCATCAGCATCAGCATCATCAGCAGCATCAGTATCATCAGCAGCATCAGCATCATCAGCAGCAGCATCAGCATCATCAGCATCATCAGCAGCATCAGCATCATCAGCAGCATCAGCATCATCATCAGCAGCATCAGCAGCATCAGCATCATCATCATCATCAGCATCGTCAGCAGCATCAGCATCATCAGCAGCATCATCAGCATCAGCAGCATCAGCATCATCAGCAGCATCATCATCATCAGCAGCATCAGCATCATCAGCAGCAGCAGCATCAGCATCATCAGCATCAGCATCATCAGCAGCATCAGTATCATCAGCAGCATCAGCATCATCAGCATCAGCATCATCAGCAGCATCAGCAGCATCAGCAGCATCAGCATCATCAGCAGCATCAGCATCATCATCAGCAGCATCAGCATCATCAGCAGCATCAGCATCATCATCAGCAGCAGCATCAGCATCATCAGCAGCATCAGCATCATCAGCATCAGCAGCATCAGCATCATCAGCAGCATCATCATCATCAGCAGCATCAGCATCATCAGCAGCATCAGCAGCATCAGCATCATCATCATCAGCAGCATCAGCATCATCATCATCAGCAGCATCAGCATCATCAGCATCAGCATCATCAGCAGCATCAGTATCATCAGCAGCATCAGCATCATCAGCATCAGCAGCATCAGCATCATCAGCAGCATCAGCAGCATCAGCATCATCAGCAGCATCAGCATCATCAGCATCAGCAGCATCAGCATCATCAGCAGCATCATCATCATCAGCAGCATCAGCATCAGCAGCGTCAGCAGCATCAGCAGCAGCAGCATCAGCATCATCAGCAGCATCAGCATCATCAGCATCATCATCAGCAGCAGCAGCGATCCCACCCTCTCCCGCTTGTCCGTGCACCTCCAAAGCGGCTCAATTACGGCGAGTGCATTCGCGTTGCGGTTGTTTGCGTGCGTGGGATATTTCGAGTGATGTGATTACAGGCGGGAAAGCGGGGGGGCCGGGGGGGGGGGACTACGGAGGGTTTACTGCAACATAATAATATTATTCTCAGGAGAGAGAGAGAGCGAGGAGGAGGGAAGGATGGAGGGAAAGTGTTCACTCTCGCGCACGCACGCACATGTACACGCGGGATGCCCTGCACGCGCGTGTGCGTGCGAGTGCTTGCTGTTCTCTCGCTGACAGTACTTGTCCCAACAGTCTGTTTGGGCTACACGGGGGATATTTGTTTTTGTGCTTGCTGTGTGCGATGGGGAAGCGCTCGTGTAGCGGTTAGCATGCCGCGCTACGTACCTGGCGACGCGAGTTCGATCTCCGCTCACGGGCCAACAGCAGTGACGGTTATCTGAACCGGTCCTGCTGGGTCTGCCCTAGGTTGACTCGGCCTCAAACGAGTACCTGGTGCGGTGTGTAAAAGCATCGCCATTGGGGAGACAAAGGCGGTCGGGCACGGTGCTGGTCACCCCCCACCCCCTCGTGTGCTACAGCGCCGGCCTTCGTAGGGTGGCTCGCTAACGGCACTTGCCCCAACAGTCTGTTAAAGTCCATACGGGGGGGGGAGGGATCGTTGTCTTTGTGCTGTGTGTGTGTGAGCTGCTTGTGGGGGTATGGTGTTAATCAATAGCAGGCTTGGAAGAGTGCTCATTTTTCTTGTGTTTACTTGTGCGGTTGAGTTTGTCGGACAGTGAGCAATGCATAACAGCAGCGTGAGTCATCCCATGAAAGCATTGATCAAAGGTGCATTCTGTCTTCGTTTTGTTTTGAGTCTTCCGTTTTCTCTTTGTTTTTATTGCCCTGACGTGCGCGCGTGTGCATGTGTATACGCGTGCGCGTGTGCATGTGTATGCGCGCGCGCGCGTGCATGTGTATGCGCGCGCGCGCGTGCATGTGTATGCACGCGCGCGTGTGCATGTGTATGCACGCGCGCACGTGCATGTGTATGCACGCGCGCGTGTGCATGTGTATACGCGTGCGCGTGTGCATGTGTATACGCGCGCGCGTGTGCATGTGTATACGCGTGCGCGTGTGCATGTGTATGCACGCGCGCGTGTGCATGTGTATGCACGCGCGCGTGTGCATGTGTATGCACGCGCGCGCGTGTGCATGTGTATGCACGCGCGCGCGTGTGCATGTGTATACGCGTGCGCGTGTGCATGTGTATGCACGCGCGCGCGTGTGCATGTGTATGCACGCGCGCGCGTGTGCATGTGTATGCGCGCGCGCGTGTGCATGTGTATGCACGCGCGCGTGTTGTGCACTGAGTTAGGGAAGCGGTGGTGCAGCGGTTAGAGCCACGCCATGCTACGAACCCGGTCCCTCCCGAGTTCGATTCCAGCTCACGACCAACACCAGTGATGATTATCTGAACCGGTTTAGGTCGACTCAGCCTAAAATTAATACCTGGTGCGATGTGTAAACATCGCCACTAGGGAGACAAAGGCGTCCGGGCGTGGTGCTGGCCAATCACCCCCTCGTGTGCCGTTCCTGCCTTCATAGGTGCTACTCGCTAATAGCACTTGCCCCAACAGTCTGTCACGGCTATACGAGGGATCTTTGTGTGGACTGCCACGACTTATTTTTTTTAAACATTTGCTGAGCACAGGCGCAAAATGCCGAGCGGGCAGCAACAAACGGCGCCGTTATCAACGTTTGCATTGGATAGGCGTTAACACGTTTCCCGAGTCGAGCAACATTATTATAGGAACTTGGCAAAGAGAAGAAAAAAAACACAATGGGAGGGAATTCCAGAGTCTCCAGCAGTGCGAGGGGAAAGGGGGCAGAGTGAGAAATGTTGTGGCCTACAGTGTTGGTGGGTTGACCGCAGTGCGGATGAGACGAAACAGTGACTCTGGGCAGACGGAGTCAGGAATGGAAGTGCACACGTGTCCACGTATTTGCGTGCCTCTGTGTACCTGTGCAGGAGTGGCGTAGTGACTAATGCACTGCGCTACAAACCCGGCCGCACGAGTTCAACTCCCAGCCATGGCTAAGAACCGGTCCTGGGTCTCCCCTTGGTCGACTCAGGCTTAAAATTAGTCACTTGGTTCAGAGAAAACAAAAACGTCAGCTGACCGCAGGCGGGGGAGAGACAAAAGCGGCGGGAGGGGAGGGTACGTGGTGCTGGCCACATCAGCATCATGTGCGCCGTCTCGGCAATAAAGAGGTGCTCGCCAACAAAGCTTGCTTCGACGGTCTGTGTCGGCTGCGGCTGGATCTTTGTATTTTTGTGGTTCACGAAAACAATCCGTTGCCTTACTGCGAGAGCATTTGCGCGCTGCGTCGCCAACCGCACGGATCTCTCTGTGCGCACTGGGTGTGCATGCACACACACGCACACACCCACATGCACGTGGGTTGTGTGTGTGCGTGTGTGTGCATGCGCACGGCGTGTTTTCGTGCAAATCCATCCCTCATTCCCCCCCTCCCACCTCCCCATGTTAACAACTCAACGCAGTATCGATTACGGTAATGTGGCAGCGGCTGGGTGATGCATTCGTTTGCATTGATTCGGCCTTGTTTGTTCTAATCGACCCCTCTCCCCTGTCAAGCTGATGAGGGCAAGACTGAATTGTTGCTCGGACATTCTTATTTACAGCTGGGAATCAGAAACAAAAGAGCAACGAGAACAAACACGGAGAAGGAAAGCGGTGTTGGGATACGCACAAAACATCAGTTCTTGAAACCTCATTTCTTAGAACGGATTTTTTTGTGTTTGGTTTGTTGTCCTTTCCCTCCACACCTCCGATAAGCACGCTTGGCTACGTACTGTGCGAAATAAGTTCAACGTACGCACAAAGCAAGGACGCTCGCCACAGCAAACCGATGCTGTTAACGCCCGGCAAAGCAAATCACGGGGCAAAGGAGAATAAAAGGAGAATATAAACTACTGACGAAAGCATAAACGCGGCTTTTGAGCTTTTACTACCCCCCCCCCCCACTTCGCCTGGGCGGAAATGGGAGCACAAAAATTGCAGGTAGTTTTGATTCGTCATTATCTTAATGCGCGGCATTTGGGTAAGCACTTTGCACATTTCCATGAAACAAGAGCCTCCCTGGCAAAAAAAAACCTCGTCCTGAACTCTTTACGAAACGTAACGGGGTAGTGAATTTTCATAGAAACCTCCCCCCACCTCCCTTCAAATAGTTATTGAAAGCCGCAAAGTATGCGAGTCCTCTAACATAACAAGGAACTATCCTGCCTTAGGAATGTTAGCGAATTTCAAATAAGGCTTCTGAGCGTGTCGCAGGACAATGTGCGTACGTGGGCAAGCTGTAATTGCCATGGTATTTCGGCATTCATGTGCACGTGCAGTATCGTTTGACTGGAGAGTATTTGGTGTAATGCTATTAAAGTAATTGGAAAATTGGTAAAGCTTACTTTTAAGTACACAAAGTAACATTGAAGGTCGTTATGTTGTTACTTCGAGGGCCGTTCGGCTACCTGTAATTACGGTGGGGGTTTTGACGTGCAGCCGTTTGAGTGCAGGCCCATTTAATTTTGTGCGCGACGCGACCGCGATCGGGACCCAATCCGGGACGCGTCTCCCACACGCGCCATGAGAACGCCAAAGGGGAGCGACGTTGTCGGTTTTCCAGAAGAGGAGGAGGAGGAGGAGGGGGGGGGGGGACCAAAAACATTGGTAGCGCTGCGTATTTACGTTGGCACCCTCGTACGCACACCGAGCATAATAGTCGACAATGTCTGCAGGACTGTGAAAAAAAACAACACAAGGGAAATTTTAAGAAACAGTACGCTACTCAAATATATGTTTTTCTCGTTCGCTTTCTAAATAAACACTTTAGTTCCCTTTATGATTTTTTTGAAAGACAAAGGTTGCCGGTTGTTATTAAACGGAGGCGGTTGGAGAAGCGCCTGGAAGTAGTCTTAAAGCCGCAGATAACAGCCCTATGGGGCACGGATAGGTCAAGCCTGAACGTGCAGGACAGACGATGCGTGAGTCACAACTCCTCCGCACGTCCTCTCTGTGAAAAACACAGTCTATTGCATTCCCGCTGCGTAGGTTTCATTTTTTTCTCTTCTTGCGCAGTTCTCCGATGAGTTTTATCGATTTTTTTGGGGGGGGGGATTGTACCGCCGCGATGTTCGGCGCGACGTCGTCCGACGTTTTCGCTCCTCCCGCTGCCGGGAGCTGATTAAGGAAGCTCTCGGGCAGCGAAGTTGGACACCTTGTCCGAACACGACGCGGTACAAAACCATAAAACGCACGGGAGAGCTGCTCACATTCCCATTTTGTAGCTTCTTCCGTGAATTCGAGCATTGCACTTTTTACGCGTGAATCTAACGGTGTTAAAAAAGTATCCTATTTATTTTTTACACGTGTCGGTAGGTTAAGAGGACAGAGAGCGATGCACCTTTGATTAACTTCAGCGGCGCGTTGTTTAGGTTTGGGCAACATCAACGGACGTGGAGGTAACGTGCCGTAGCGGGTTAGAGCCTAATCAGCTTGCGCACCTTGACCGCGAGACGGTTTTTACGGCAGGGATCGATGGTACCATTCCTGCCACCGCACAGTCATTCGCTCCGCTTTGAATTTGACTTTAAAAAAAAAACGTTATGGCACGCAGACGCACGCGCACACAGGCGAGGGAAGCTCTGAATTTGTGGACTCTGTCAAGCGGACAGGGGCATCCCACCTTTGACGCAGATTAGATGGCGCCGATGTGAAGAGTTGCAGCAGCGGCACGAGAGGAGATGCTATTTAAAAAATGCACGCGGTGATAAACTCTTGCAAACAACGTCGTGCAGCTGAGTGTTTAAGATGAGGCACCGCCTCCCGCGGCGCGCGGGGGTCTGTGTTTATAACTTTCAGCGGTGTCTGGGTGTGACATCGCGATGCAAGAATTTCCTCGTGTATTTTTTTTTTGGTCTTGGATGAAGCGACTCGATGACAGGCGAGGAAGCTGGCGAGTGGTCTTTGGCCGCGCGGATGTCGCAAGCCGCTCAACTCCGCTCGCTCGCTCGCTCGCGGCTGTGCGAGATCGTAAACCCAGACAACGAATGAGGTGGTGGTGGTGGGGGGGTGGCTTTGGCAGCCAGATACGCTGAGCTGACACCACCGAAAGCCTGGGTTCCAACATGGTTTTCAACCACCCGTGGTCAAAGCGTGTTCTCCCCGAGTGTCGTGAGATGGTCACGTAAAATGTTTTTGGGCACTGTGCTCACCAGGCAGGCTTAGTGGCGACCTGAGGACGATGCCGTTGGGTTCTGCCAACGCACGCGCTGAATAAATAATTGAGTTGACGGTCTTCGCCTGATCAATGATGACTCTTCACGCAAAAACACCAACGCGTTAAGTTCTTTTTAAATTTAATTTGGCTAAATTCCAGCTCTGAGAATTATACATATATAGGTTCTAATGCAATGCAACGCAACATCTAAAGTTTTTATGATTTTCTTGATTATCATTAAAATTAATGTTTAGTAGTGAATGAGCAATTACTTATTTTACACATTATGTGTGCTTGAATACAACACGTGATGTATTGAACAGTGAAGGTAAACAGGTAGACGATTGTCCAGTCACTTTGTTTCATTTGAAATAAATACTTCGAAGCAATTTGGAAACCATCGGATGGGTAATTCACCTTTTCATCGTAACAATGTAAACAAAATAAAATCCCCGGTGTTAATTTACGTTAACGGTGAAATCGTTTTCAAGTAACTTTTGATTTTTTTCAAAACTCCTGAAACATCACCGCACACACACACACACGGCGTAAATTCCAAAATCAATTGACTGCACAAACACAGCTGCGGTTAATTAAACTCGAAGATGTGGAGTTCACAGTTGTTAACAAGGGCTCCGGGCCCCCTTTTAAGAACGACAATTTGCGTAATGAATGCAAGAGTCGTCGCAGCGTTGTGTGTGCCCTCTCTACCGCGACGAGATACCCTCTCAACTCTCACACCCCTCTTCCATCGGCGTATCCGAGCCGAGCCACCATGGCACCTCTCATGGCACGGGTGGTATTTCACTGGCAATCATCGGTGCCGAACTGGAGCCAAACCCTGACGGGCTGGCCGGCGCGATGCATCTGCGCGTGCTGAAACATGGCTTCGGGCCCAGCCGGGCCAGAGGTGGAGGCTAAACGCCGCGGTCACTGCATGCTTCATCAACGGACACGCTCTAACACGGCGGTTACTGTGTCGTCGGCTCGGCCACGAGTTCGTTCGCTGCGCGCGAACGTCAGCAGCACGGCTCGGCTTGTGCAGTTGAAAAAAAAAAGTAAAAATAAAAAATCTACTTGCGCCCCCCCCCCCCCTCCGTGGTTCTCACCTGCAGGACAACCCAGCGAATGCTACGTCAAATCGTTCGGGGATCAGGATGATTTCGACGACACCGACGACGCCGTCGTGGAGAGCGAAAAGGGAGCGAGCGTCGGCTGGAAGGACTCGCGCTGCTCCGGGGGGCAGGCCAGGGGCGGCATGGGCTCGTGCCTGGCGATGGTGAACCAGGAGGTGCCGGTGGGCGAGCGGTGGGCCGCGAGCGTGACGGCGTCGCACGAGAGCAAGACGCACTGCCCGGCCCGCGCTGTCGTCGGCCCACCCGCCAACCCCGAGGTGTGACCGCTGGCGCTTGGCGCTTGACGCGCGACGGCCCCTTTTTGGTGACGCCACGATAGCCGAGACACTGTTTACAGGCTGCGTAGCCTCGTGGGTTGATACGCTCACGGATTCAACGGTTTCCGCGGTTGCCTGGTAATTGCTTTCGCAGGCAGTTAAAAACGTGTCATCCGCTTTAAATGTTCATGATTATCAGTGGATGGGTGATGCTGCATTCGCCGCGGTGTCCGTAATGACTGCATTGACGGCGTCACTTCACGACAATAATTATTTAGGAATCCATCACCATTCTTTCCCACATCGGTCACCAACCGTGTCTTGTCCAAGCCCCGCTTCCTTTTCTTTCCAGTCGGAACAATCCCTTTAACCTTTAACCCGCGAGCGTTGTCGATCAGAGCGAAAAAAATGAACGTTACCCTGTTTGATGACTCACCGATGTCCGATTGCTCGTTGCCGCCCAGCTGTGTGTGAGGGACCCTCTGGAGCTGCCCAACGGGGTGGCGGGCTGGGCCTGGTACCCGTGCAATCAGTCTCTCGCTGGCCCGGGCCACGCGGAGCCGCAGGGCCCGCAAGACGCGCCCAGCATCCCCGGTGGCGCCGTGCAGCCCGCAGGCACACACGCTGCCACGGACTCGCGGGGCGAACCCGAGGCCTTCTGGCTCAAAGTGAGTCTCACCGCACCCAGCACCCGGCCCATAGTGAGTCTCACCACAAAACTCGGCCCATAGTGATTCTCACCACAACACTCGGCCCATAGTGAGTCTCACCGCAACACTCGGCCCATAGTGAGTCTCACCGCAACACTCGGCCCATAGTGAGTCTCACCGCAACACTCGGCCCATAGTGAGTCTCACCGCAACACTCGGCCCATAGTGAGTCTCACCGCAACACTCGGCCCATAGTGAATCTCGCTTGGGGCCAATAAACCAAGTGACCCAAATAATGAAGAAATCTGTTTTTTTTCTCATATTTTGACCTCATTCCAAATGGCAGCTGATTAATTGAAATTAACAGGAGCCGTCTTAGACGACTTATCCGTCCAAAGACGTGGACATATGAACTTACAAACACTCGCGCGACACCGATTATCCGGTCAATGTTCTTCAACGCACGCTTTCACTTCGCGCCATGCTATCCAGTCTTCAAGATACATGAAAGAGAGAACCCGCCTGTCTTCGGGCTGCGCCGTTAATCCCGCCACGTGTTGTGCTCACCTCTCGCAGGCTTACTTCCTCCACCCAATGCAAGTCCTGGCGGTCGTTGTGCACTTAGCGAGCGACGGCTCCGGCGCCGCTGTTGGGGAATCCAACTCGATGAAGGTTTTCCTCATTGACGCTCATGACCGGAACCACAGTGTCGGTAAGTGATCCCGGCAGCAACTCTCGGTCAGCGCCTCACTTCACGAAACTCAATATCGTCGTGCGGCATGCGTGTGACGTGCACGGTGTGCGGTGACGTGGCCCAGCGGGAGCGCCTTTCGCCGCTCGTCGCAGAGGCTCGCGGTTCGAATCCAGCGGCCGCCCTGGTTAACCCTTTCCCGTGTCCGGGACGTCTGCAAGATGCAGGGTGCTTGTCCCGTTCACCGCTGAATCTCGGAACGCATGAGCGGTTGTGCATGAATTTTATTTAGAGAGGCGTAGCGCCGTTGTTTTTAAGGACATCGTACTCACCGCAGAGAACCGTAACGACACGACCGCCACTCTCCGATAGCCAACGCCAAACATGTGCCACACACCCCCCTCCCCGCATGGCCTTGTGCTAGCCTCGGTACTGATAAAGTTACACGTATCTCATCGGAATAGGAAAAGGTTAATACTGCTGGTGAAATAATATTAACGCTGCGTGCCGTCTGCTTAACGGTGGACGTTAGAGATCCCGTGACGCTATTCACAAGAGTGGGCCATTGTGTGCCGTATCACGGTCCAAATTTGACAAGTACACCGCAAGTTACTCAATTGGGATTCTACATTGCTGTTCATCGCCCCCCCCACCCCACCACTGGCAGCCTAATGCCAGTAGGTCACTCTTGTAAACGAGACTCATCTTAGTCTCTTGAGTTCCCGTCTGGTTGAACAAAATACCCTTGAAAGCCTCTACGTGCACGTACACAGACCTGTTGCCGATGCGCTGCTGGACGAGGGCCTCTGTCCGTCGTAACGTGCGCGTCGTGGAGGCTATTTGACCATACTTCGCCATGCTGGGGTCAGTCGGGGTCAGTCGGGGTTGGCGCAGAGGTTACGGAAAGTCTCCGTTTAACGCGCGGTGTTCACACAACGCGTTTTGACTGTTACGCGGTTCTTCTATTGGGGAACACTTTTTGCACAACGCTGATCGCGCACCGTTAGAACGCTGTTTCTGAGCGCTAAAAAACGAAACACTTTCTTGAGCTGCGTGGCTAAGCGGTATGATGCAGTTGCGTGTAATAATGCAGTACGTGGTTGTACCCTCATCTCAGTTCTTTGTCCCACCATGGCATGACCGCAGGATGATTTTTACAGCGCCAACGCGACTCGGTTCAGTAATTCCGCTCTCAAGGATATTTTTTTTGCTCGAACCGCGCCACTTTACAGAAACGCATCTTGCCGCGTGAAACGAGGAACTACTGCATAGAACAGCAATGGATGAGGCCTGGCTCTATACTGTCGTGGCACGTAGCCCCGCAACTCTGTGTGGCCACCTGTGTTGCAGGCGGTGGTCGCCCATCCAAGATCTATCCAGGTTCAACCCTTGCTTAGTTTTCGAGACTGGATGGGATTGGGTGCATTCCTGGATATTTGGTCATAGGCGTATGTGCATTGCATGCATACAAATCCGGATTATGAAGGTGCAGATTAATTGGTCTGGATTTGTAAAAACTCCAGACAACTGAGCAGAATGTAATAAAGCCTGGGGTTCGGGTTTTAAAACGTCTCGCTTTCTTCGAAATAATAACGTGCTTAGCTAACCAGAATTAATAATATAATGTAGAGCCCATTTCTGAATGAAGGTCTCTCCACACTTCTCAATCGTGTGGGTTGTTTGACCATACTTCACCAACCTGCTCAGTACAGAGTTTGGTGTAGGAGGGGGCCCCTAGGAACGGTTCAGATGTCAGCCACCAAAGTGGTGGGGTCCAATGGAGATGTCTTTAGCTGGGAAATAGAAGCACTTTAATGCTGAAAATATGCGTAAACAAAGGGCAGAATGCTCATATTAGGTATGGACACAGCTCGATAAGTGTGTCGATTTTAAGAAAATGTGATCTCTTCTAACTTTATTTTCAAAACAAGAAGTCGCTCACTGTTCTGATGTGGGAAGCTGCAGTGCATTCGATGGCCAGAGGGCCTCCTCTCGAGACACGTGACACGCTGATGACACTCTGGCTCCTCTCTAACAGGCACAATTATTACCGTCACTGTGACACCACTGCTCAGGCTGATAATGCAATCCGTATCACACACTAACGGCCATATACGATATGTGTACATATAGCTCGGAGACTTTTGACGATTGTGGGGCTTTTTTTTTAAACGAATAATAATGGGGGGGCAGCTGCTAATTGCCAGGTGTTTGTCCTGGGAGGTCGCCACGGCGTTTCTGAGAATTGAGGTTTTGGTGGAGGCTCGCGCGACGACGTGCCTTTTGGAAGCCGGTGAGTGAGTTTTGGAAGTTGAGGATTTGCCATTATGCACGCAGGCTGGTAGTTGCACCAACGGTCTCCCCTGGGCGTTGGGTCGGTGGGGAAGGAGGAGGTGGGGGGGGGGTCGTTGAAATATCCCCTTAGGAGGCTGTGGTGCCTTTTCTTCTCCTGCGTGATCTTTGAAGGCTGATGCTAGCCAGGCAGTTCCCCGCCCCACGCAACCATTAGCCGGTTTCGTTTTGTTGGGAGAGGAGGGTGAAGGGTATTTTCTGTTGCGGTAGAATGGGGGCAGCGGGCGGGGGTGGGGGGGGGAAGATTTTGGGGGGGTGGAATGATGGGGAAACATGGAAAAATGTTGGTGCTTAGGTGGCGGTGGGAGAGCGAGGACGAGAGCCAGCCGGTTGACTACGTGGCTCAACGTTGAGGCAGTTCAGTGACGATACAAAAAAAAACGCGTGAGGCCACCCTGTCAAGGTGCCTCCAGTGGATGAAGTTTGTGTGATAAATAATAATAATTGAGAGCACTTTGGAACTCGACTTGCTGGATGAAGGCCTCCCCAACGGTATGTCAATCACGGGGGGGGGGGGGGGGGGGGTTGAGTCAAAATAGACAGCGAAATTCCATGCCAGTAGCCCCTGCAATGTCTATTTAAGCACGTAAAGCTGAAAGAAAAATAGGTCACATAGCCGTGAGCGTAGGCTAATTGTGTGACAAGCATCCGCACTTGATATGGATACTCCGTTTTAATGTTAGTAATCCCTGTACGGTATACATTTTTTATAGTAAGTCCATTACACTTAACATTTGACAAACACTGACTATAAAGCAATACAGAATATAATTTATCCACGATTCATGAGTTGAACATAGCAATGAATGTAAATCGCCTTTGCTAATGTATAGCCCCTTCGCCAATTCACTGATGGATGAAGCTATCGGGGGGTTGTTTGGCTAAACTTGACGACGTGCGTCAGCGCTGGCTCGCTGCTGTCAACTATGGCTGGGAATAAACTCGGTTTTTTAAATGAATTCATAAACTAGACATGAATTTCCGATAAACCACAAAAAAACATGACTTATTTCACAAGGAAAACCAAAACTCAGTCCAAGGACTCTTTGTTTCAGCGGCGTTCCCACATTAAATGCCTTTATGTGAAGATGTCTTCAGCCTATCGATGAGTGTTCATGCATGCGAGGGAGAAACCGGAGCACTCGGAGAATTCCTACACGTGTGAGAGGGGGCAAAACTAAACTGTAACCCACATCCAGAAGGGTCAGATGGATATTGGTCCACACTTTTGCTTGCATATAGAGAGACTCATTTACTTATGGACATTCGACTTGCGAACTTTCAGAGATACGAACAAACCCGTCCGTGTATGTCCAGTTGCCCGTTCGGACCGAGAGTCGTACGTTCAACCGCCGCGCAATAGATGGCGGCGGTGGAGGCATCTGCATCTGCAGAACGTGAACAACCAGATGCCGTACAACGTGTTTTGGAATCGACAGGAGTAAAGTTGGACTTACGAACAAATCGACTTACGAACTGACCTCTGGAACTTAACTCGTCCGTTAGTAGAGGAGTCCCTGGAGTGCCATCGCCGCCCATACCAAGTGGGTTTCGCAACGACAGGATTTTGAGCGTTCCACCCCAATCCTCGCCTCCAGAGTTTCTGTATTACACTGGTCAACAAAAAAACTTTTTTTCTGTCCTGGACTTTTGCAGCTGTTTTAGACTAATTTCAGGGTGCAGATTCCAAATCTGATCTCAGATTTGCTCTATCACATCATTTTTATGCTATCGGCATACCCCATTTTCATTGATTTTACCCGAAATTAACTCTGTCACTTAAGATTGCAAGTTGTTGCGAGTCAGTGACTGCTTTAGTGTTAAAATATGGTGCTGTATTTTAGGATAGTGTGTTTATAACATCATTTTATGTAGATATCCACATTTATTTAATATTTTTCTTTTGCAGTTTTTATTTAAAATGCATAATTTGATATCTCAAAAACCTGATGTGATAGACAAAAATTGATGCCAGATTTGGAATCAGCACCCCAAACTTACCTTAAAACCGTTGGAATACCTTATGCCAGAAAAAGTGTGTTGACCAGTGTTATAGGCGTGCGTAGCGAACAACTTGCACTTACCACTCCAACATTGGACGTGTGTACGTTGAACTTCTCTCGCACCGTACGTAGCCAAACGTGCTGATTGTAGAGATGCGGGAAATATTGCCTTAGATACTTAAACACTTTTTCAAAAAAAAATCATATTGGCTGAGCAGATCCCTTGCCTAAATCGGCCACTGGCTTTTCCCTGGGCCAGGCTGCCTAAAAGCTGGAGCCAGAAGGGAGTGGGTGGGGGGAGAGTCACTTCTGCCCTTCCTCTACATTTTTAGTCATACACCATCGTTATAAATTGTAACCGCGTTCATTGTTACCTCCTTGATTGGTTTGTGTACTCAGTGATAATTGTGACTTAATCTGCCTTTTGGCCCCATTGTCTCTGTGAGGCCGCGCTGGGCTGTGTCGAGACTACGACGGTATTAACGGCCTCTTTTCCTCCTCATTTATCCCTGCTACTGTACTGGGCCCCACATCCAGATCCCTAAACCAACACCCACACACAGAGGCACACACGTTTGTTTGTTTTTCATGCCGTCTGTGTGCGAGTTGGCTTGTGGGTCAGCCTGCCTGCCTGCGTGCGTGTGCATGTGTGTGCATGTGTGTGTG